TGGGAGACGAGTGGAAGATCGCCTTCAAGACACGAGATGACCTTTATGAATGGACAATCATGTTTTTCGGGATGTCCCTGTCCAACACACCTAACATCTTCATGCGCTTAATGAATCAAGTCTTTCGAGCACATATTGGAAAATTCCAACACACCTAACATCTTCATGCGCCTAATGAATCAAGTCTTTCGAGCACATATTGGAAAATTCGTGGTGGTCTACTTCGATGATATCTTGGCTTATTGTAAATTTGAAGATGACCAATCGCAACACCTACGGGCGATATTCGAGGTCTTACGATCCGATCAACTAAACACCCACCCCAAGAAGTGTGGGGTCCATTTATATAACCGCGCTGCAATCTTTTACCGAGCTTTGACAATTTTTTAGGCTAGCCTCCTATTGAAGATTTGTTCGCAACTTCAACACTATCACTGCCCTCTCATAGAGTTGTTGCAATGGAAAGAATTTGCATGGACAGTCACAGTACAGTCCAACTTCAATATATTGAAAGAAAAAGTCGCTCAAGCCCCACTTCTTGCCTTACCTGATTTCACCCAACCTTTGAGGTTGAGTGTGATCCTCCCGTCATAGACATTGGTGTTGTACTAAGTTAGGGTGGTCACCCTATAATTTGTTTCAGCGAAAAATTAAATGAGACTCGACGAAAATATTCCACCTACGATAGAATTTTATGTCATTGTTAGATCTTTAGAACATTGGCGTCATTACCTACTCACAACTGATTTCACCGTTTGTGTGGATCTTGAAGCTCTAAAATTTTTAAACAGTCAAATTAAACTCAAAGAGCGTCACGCTACTTGGGAAAAATTCTTAGTGTCTTTCCGGTTTGTACTCAAACACAATTCCGGAAATCAGAACCGCATTGCAAATACACTAAAACCGCCATCACCTCCTGATCACATTCTTGCAGACGCACGTGATAGGCTTTGATGTTATAAAAAACTTATATGAGACAGATGAAAACTTTCAGGAAGTCTTGGAACTGTGTAGGTTGAAACCTTATCGGCAGTTCTACAATATAGATGGCTACTTGTTCCGCTACAACAAACTATATATTCCTTGATGCTCACTACGCGAAGCTAGCGTCTAGGAGAACCTCAATAGCAGATTGGCCGGTCATTTTGGTAGAGATAAAACTCTTGCACTAATGAGAACATTATTTTTGGCCCCGACTAACACGAGATGTGGAGCGAAACATCTAACAATGCAATATTTGTAATATCACCAAAATACGTGGCTAAAATACTGGATTATATACATTTATCGGTCCCTAAAGCGTCTTGGGTCGATGTCAGCATGAAATTTATCATAGGACTTTCATGCACACATAGGATTGAGGATTTTTTCATTGTAGTAGTTGATCGTTTCTCAATGATGACACATTTCGTCATTTGCCACCGGACGTTGGATGCATCTCATATTGTCGATTTGTTCTTCCGCGAGATCGTTCGACTTTACGGCATTGTCCATTACTTCTGATCGGGATGTTAATTTTTTAGCCACTTATGGCAGAAACCCTAGAATAAATTAGGCATGAAACTTCAATTTAGTTCTACGGCTCATCCTCAGACAAATGGCTAGACTGAAGTAGTTAATAGGAGCCTTAAGAATTTTCTTCGATACTTCGTAAGGAAAAATGTCAAACAGTGTGATCTCATTCTCGCTCAAGGTGAATTTGCTTTCAATAGATCAACAAGCTAGACCACAGGAAACACGTCATTCGAAATTGTGTGCGGTCGCAACCCGTTCACTCCCCTTGAGTTGGTCCCACTTTTGCCCCCCACAAAGAGAAGCGAGAATGCTATAGAGCGTGTTTCCCAAATTCAACAACGTCACGAGTACGTTGGGAAAGCAATTTCTAAGCAAAATCACAAATATCAAACACAAGAAAATAAGTCCAAGAAAAGGGAAACATTTTCGGAAAGCAGCCTCGTGTGAATACAACTAGGGCTGTCAAAACGGCTTGTTGTTCGCGAACAACTCGTGTTCGACTCGTTAAGAAGCTCATGTTCGGCTCGTTTGCTTAGTTAACGAGCCGAATACTAACAACTCTAATAAATATTTGTTCGTTTATGTTCGACTCATTTTGGCTTGAAATATTACTAATCAATTATATTTTTTTTTAAAGCCCAATGACTGATTTTATTGAAATAGACAGGATACTTAAAGGTTGTATGAGAAGGCCCAATAAAGGCACTCGACCAATATGATACCGAGTATGGTAATACCCCTGCAAAAAAGATATAGATAGACACATCAAAAAAAAAATTAGAGCATGCAGAAAACAAATAGCTAGGGACGAGATACTTAAAGGTTGTATGAGAAGTCCCAATAAAGGCACCCGACCAATATAATACCGAGTATGGTAATACCCCTGCAAAAAGATATAGATAGACACATCAAAAAAAAAATTAGAGCATGCAGAAAACAAATAGCTAGGGACGAGCCAATTTAGTCATGTCTCTTCCTCTAGTTTTAGGAGCGGAGCCAGATAATTTTTTTGGACTTATTTTCTTGTGTTTGATATTTGAACCGCCAGCCTTTGTCCATTAAGTTTTCAAGTTGGAGTGTGCCCCTAGCCTTCTTCTTCTGCCGAGAAGTGTAAACCTGTCATTCTTCATCTGAAAACTGACTCATGTGATCCTCACTCTGATTAGATATTAGAACCGCAGTAGAGGGAAAGACAGTTGTTGCCACAATGATAGATTCCAGCATATGTGAAATGTGAATTTTCATCTCTACACCTGATGCTTCCTGAATAGGAGTTGCGGGGCCATTGTTGAATAGGCATTCATTGATTTTTTAGTGCACCCCACGTGCCTGAATGCGCTCCCAATGAACCTGATTAAAACCAACTTGAGGAGGGAATCACCACAAGACAAGAGTTGGTGTCTGCCCCTTGGATCCCTTCTCCTGACCATACTAATCAATTATATATATATATATATATATTTAAAAAAATAGAATAAAAATATATTAAATTATATTTAAATGAGGTTTTAATATAAACAATAGGATTTAAATCTTGCTCCAATCCTTCAACATCTACGGCTGATTAGGCCTGTCAAAATGACTCTTTATTCGTGAACGGTTTGTGTTCAGCTCGCTCAGCAAACGAGTCAAACACAAACACACTTTTTGAGCTCGAAATATAAACGAGCCGAACACGAACTGAGCTTGGGCTCGCTTGTGTTTGGCTCGTTTACACCCCTAGATACAACTGAAGAAAGAACGATTTTCTATAGGAGCATACGACAAACTCATGCCCAGAGTCGATGGACCGTTCCACATTTAAACAAAATTGAACGACAACGCATATAAAATTGACCTGTCAAGAGTCTCCGGAATTTCAACAACGTTTAGTGTCACCCGAAGCTTTAGCAAATGATGCTGAAGCTCCCTCAACCTCGGGGGATTGATGCGGGTCCACTCTTGCCCGCGATCACTTCCCGCTAGCAAGTCACACCCGTTGATCGGGCGTGGCCTTTTGAACCGGCCTAATGTCTCTGCTGGACTAGGACCGGTTCAAATCCATTTAAGACTCACGATTTCACTCCTCTTCCGCGATCATTTCCTTCTTGTGCCTTAATCTTTTGTCTCCTCCTAGTCGCTGCAGCGCTCCTTCCTCCTCTTAGCCGTTGTAGTCCCCCTCTTCATTTCCTACCATTTCCTCCCCTTCTTTTCTCAGATCTTACCATTGCTAGCTACTAGTCTTCTCTCTATTTATATATATTTTTTTCTTAGGTCCTAAGTAGTAGTTGATTTTTTGATTTAGGTGCTTCTTTCTGGTGTTCGCTCTTTGAGAGTTGTACCCTTTGGCGAGTAGTGCCACAGATGTATCACGCTCTAGATGGTGTGTATCGCTGCTCCATCTCCTCCTCTCGGCGTCACCCTTCCACCCTTCAGATCATTCAACCACCAATTCTTTCAGCAACACAACAGTCCGCCCCCTTCCTCCCAGGTTGCTGCACCCCCACCCGTGACTCTCTCTACCTTTGTCGAGCCTCCTAGCGCCTCAGTCAAGCTGATCACTTCCTCCTGGCCTTAGCACTCCTTTCCGGCGTCTTTTCCAACAAGGTGCGGGTCCCCAGTTCCTTCCCAGCTCAACCAACCCCCCCCCCCCCCCTCCCCCACCCACCCCCCCCCCCACTTCTCCGGCCTCCGAAGCCGCCCAAAATTGTTTCAGCCCTTTTTGTGTTTCTTATACTGTTATCTTCTGATTCGTCCTGTCCTATTATATTGTCCATTTGTTTGTGTTGATTTCTATTTACGAGTTGATGTTGTATTTCCTTCAAAATCAACAATAAAGTTGTCATTCGAGTCACGGTTTGGGTTAAATCCTGTATGATATCAGGCATTTTAGGGATATTTTTGTTCAAAGTGAACTGTCCGGCATATTTACAGAAATAAAAACATTAGGAGCATATTTCTTCAAATTAGGGGCATTAGTAGGTATGTGAAATCAAATTTCCTTTGTGTAGAAACTTATGTTTTGTTTTGCTTTGGTTTACATTTGAGCATAAAACCGGGACTCTGATGCTGAGTTTGGATGTGAAGAAGACTTCTTAAATTCAAATGACACAGATGTTTGAGGGTATACGGGTTAATCTGCTTGATTGAGGAAATTATGTATCTATCAACATTTTAAATGAAACTTAAAACAATAATGAATCAGTTACTGTAACACTCTTCACAATGAAATGCCAGAGCTTTTAAATTGTTAAAGTGCTCTATATAGTGTTCTGGAGTCACGAACATGACTGCTTATACGTTCAGGCCTTGATGATTATTGACTATGTACTGGAAAGAATCGCATAACTTGCACCTGACTTTATAAACTGTTGATGCTAACATACGGCTCATCATTCCGTTTTGGTTAACTTGAATTCTAAATAATCTAGTTCGGAGGTTTGCACTTCGTGATTGTGGATCATAAACAATGTTGGTAGTTGAACCTTTCTTTACATTTCCTTCAGAACCTGCATTGCGACGTGGAGAATCTGTATATCTGGTTGGACTAAGTAGAAGTCTACAAATAACTTCAAGAAAATCCACTGTTACAAACCCATGTGCTGCTCTAAATATTGCATCAGCTGACTGTCCAAGGTACCGTGCTATAAATATGGAAGTTATTGAACTTGACACAGGTACTTAACTTTTTAGCTGTACGGATTCTGTATCTGGAATGCCTCCTTTAATAGAAGTGCTAATGTTTCTATGTTTAGATTTTGGTAGCACATTTTCTGGTGTGTTGACTGATGGACAAGGAAAAGTTCAAGCATTATGGTCAAGTTTTTCTGCTCAGGTCAGCAATACTTTATCATAATTTGATTATTTCACTATATGATAAAAATACTCATAATTTTTTATTGTCATCTCAGCTGAAATATGGTGGCAGCTCTTTAGAAGATCATCAATTTGTTAGAGGTATACCCATATATGCTATAAGCCTAGTACTTGATAAAATACTCTCTGGGGCTAGTGGACCATCACTACTTATAAATGGCATGAAAAGACCAATGCCTCTTGTTAGAAATTTGGAAGTGGAACTTTATCCGACATTGCTTTCAAAGGCAAGAAGTTTTGGACTGAGTGACATTTGGATAAAGGTAATTGTTTTTTTTTGCTTTTGATGATTGTGTGCTTCAATGAATATCATGGTTTTATTTGGCATATTGATTTTGAATTTGCATATGGTTTTCTCTTATGTTGGTTAGCAAGGTTATTAAAACTGGAATGACTTGAACGAGAAGGAGAGGTTCAAGTGTAACCGTTAACTGGAAGAAAGAATTAAAGAGCCAAAAAAGTGGGGGAGGGAGAGGTTCAAGTGTAACCGTTAACTTGAAGAAAGAATTAAAGAGCCAAAAAAGTGGGGGAGGAAACAAAGAGCTTAGCGAGAGAGAAGAGGAAGCGAGGAGACCGGAAACTGAAGAGGATGGGAAAGGAATCGAACAATCAGGAAAATGAAGGCGAGATGACCCGAAAAGATTCAGGAAAATCAAATCATATTTTTCATGTATAAATTGACGTGTAGTGGGACGATAGAGGCAAGAAAGGACTAACCTAAGAATTGATCGACACCAACGATGGAAGCGAAGGATTCTCGGGATTGCATGGCTGCGGCAAGTGCGGCTGGGGAGAGATGATGTCGAGACGCTCTCGCAACATCGTCGAACTTCGAGCGAGGGAGCCGAAGTTGAGCCCTCATGCGTAGGAAGAAGATCGTCTCCTGTAGAGGGGAGAAGAGGAGTTTCGCATGGCTTAGGGATTGATCGGGAGGGTTTTTAAATGTAAGATATTTAATAAGAATTTTATAATTAAATTTTATATGCATATTTTCTGTAGGATTAAATTTTAAAAGGGTTGAGGTTAAGACAAATTCAAGAACAAATTAATCTTCATCGATATGAGTACTCGTACTTTTAATCTATGGTAATATTTTGGTTCTTATTTTTTTTATGCATTATTAGATAGTGATATTTGCACAAACTTTATTTTGATATATATATTTTTATTTATTGGTTACATTTTTAGGAATGTATGTAGTTATTTAATATCATATATTGGTGTATGTTATTTATAGTATATTGACATGAATGCGACGAGCACATGAATGACATATTTAATTTAACTGCTTGTATGAGCATGAATGACTATGATGGAGTCACCACTTTATGATACTAATGGAGGAACACTAAGGTACCCGTGCGTATATGAAAAATGATATTGATATTGATATGTCTTAATTGACACATTTTTTAAATAGTGCTTCTGTGATTGTTGTGTGGATATATAATGATATTGATATGCTATTGATATAGTAAAGTTCTTTGAATAGCATCAAATATTTTTATTGATTTATTAAAAGCTTGATTAGCATGCATATTGTTTCATTTTTCTCTTGCATTGTTGTGGTTTATTAGTATGAGTATTTACTGGTTTGTTTAGTCTTGAGTTATTTTAAACTAACTTTTCATGTCAATTAAATAATTAAAAGATAAGCGTTAAAAGAGATAGCGTTTATAGAAGATAAAGACAACCAATAATAAGGTAATTTTAAATATATTGCTTTAATTTAATTAGATTAGTGGCTCATTCATTTGTTAAACTGTAGGCGAATATAGAAAATTTAGTTCTCACCGTCCGACTTTCTATTTCTGTCTTGATTAATTCCAAGTCTCGGGTTGGGTCTTGACATCAAGGTTTAATGGTTTAACTGAGGTTGAACCAGATGACGTAATAAATATTAAAATTACTTAAATGTAATTTAAATTATGCAATATTGAAATAGATAACATTTCTATCTTTTTTTAACACATAATTATTATGAGCATGTTTAGCTTTGGAGTTTTGGATGAAATTCCGACCGCTACACCAAAAGATGTCTCAATGTTTATGAGTTTTGTCTTCATTCTACTCGAGTGATTTCACAATATGGGATAGGTTCCAACATTAAAAACTATAGGTTTTGTGTTTATAAAAATAAAAAACCACTACATCAATTATATTAGTAATTTCAAATTAGACATGATATTTCATTTTCAAATGTTAAGTATTTTTGGCTTTGAAATAAGAAAACCGGTATGTTTCAAGAGTACGATCTGCAACAATGCCCTTGAGCGCCCAGTCGTCAAATAAATAGTTGGTTCTGACAACTAATAATACTTTTTCATGCATTCAAAAAAAAATTTATTGTGGATTGATTGCAATTCATGATTCAGTTCATCACAAGACCTTTTTCACGTTTTCACTGGTTAGCAATGGATTTCATGGTTTTGAAGAGGTATCTTTTATGAAATCAATTTGTGGCAGGATGATAGATTAAATGTTTATAATCCCTTTTTCCATTTGACATTACCACCTTACACAAACATTTAAGACTATATTTTTGTGCGTTTACTTTTTTACTAAGATCTATTTTAATCTGTTAATTTTTCGAGATTACTCTAGATATGCTTTTGGGGCCCCACAAGTTATGTTTTACAGTTGTTCTTTGCAGGCTCTTGCTACAAAAGATCCAGTAAGAAAGCAGGTTTTGCGTGTTAAAGGTTGTTGGGCAGGATCCAATGCTGAAAGGCATTTAGAACAAGGAGACATGATTCTAGCCATCAACAAAGTGCCTGTCACATGCTTCCGTGACATTGAAAACGCTTGCCAGGAGTTGGATCGGCTCAATGATAGTGATGGAAAGCTTAAGATAACAATATTTAGACAGGTCAATCATTGCAACACATATTTTTCTGTATAAATAATTCTGTAATTAGAGACTTTGATGTTTCAGGGCCAAGAAATTGAGCTTCTTGTTGGGACGGATGTCAGAGATGGCAATGGTTCAACATGTATGGTCAATTGGTGCGGATCCGTCATTCAAGACCCCCATTCAGCTGTTCGTGCCCTTGGATTTCTTCCTGAAGAAGGGCATGGTGTGTACCTGGCAAGGTATTTTTCTATTTTTTTTCTCATCTTTATTATTATTAGATTTATGTCAGCATTTTGTGTTGGTCTTAGGATTCATTTTTTATTCTTTCTTGTTTGGTGTTGAAGTGTTTGCAGTTCTAATTGTAGGAGTTTCAGCATCAGGGTCTGTCAAAAATTCATGCAATTTAGCTTACATCTTTGATCATATTCATTTTCTATCCATGTCTAGATGGGTTCACTATACAGATCTAATTTGAATTCATTTAAAAGGGGCCTTTTTTGGTCATTGATTGCTTCTCCAAGGTAATTATTTTGATCCCCTATATGAAGAGGGGAAAAAAAAAGCAATACAATTGTTAAATCTACTTGATTATTCTTCCAATTTGTTTTAGCATACTTTGGACTTTCAAATTCCATTCTTTGTTACAAGGACAACCAATTCTGCCGATTGTTGGGAGTCATTTTAGGCTATAATGGGCACAAGTTAAAGAGGAGCATCTTTCCATTCACTGATAGATAAATGGACAGAAGTGATGAATAAAACGATCATGGATCTTCTAATGGCTACAACAGCAAGCATTCCAAGGGGCTTAGACTTGTGGCAATATCTTATAGTTCTCCTTCAATCGAATTGTGTACTCCTTAGTGATGAAGAATCAATTCAAGGTATGCTTGGGCTGCCAGCCTCAAAGCCCATTAGACCTCTTCTCCATCACTCTATGATTGGCGATGAAGTTAAAGTTGACCAAAGGAAAGTATAGAAATTTCTCAATGACATCACAAGACACATGTAATGGTGGGGAAATAACTATTGAAGACCACAATAGAACTAAGAAATGCTAATTCATCATTATCTCAAACCTAACTTACAAGTGGGCTTTTTTTGCATGCTATGCTTGTCCAAGGATTGACTCAAGTGAGAAGGCAAAAAGTTGAAGCCACTGGGCATGTAAAAAAAGCTTTTGGGTTTTGAATTTTCTAAACCACAACAAAAGGATGCAACTGCCGACCATACTTCTACTAAATTAAAGTGAAGATTTTGTGAGTGCTCTTAGGTTTTGATGCTTTAGATGTCATAGATGATAGAATTAGAGAAATTGTTCAACTTTAAAGCAATTTTACTCACCGATTTGATCATAATAGTCACGCGGGAATTTCATACCAAGCGTGGATTGACATCGGAACGCCATGCGCCCATTTACGTGGATGCGGCATGAACAGCATGCGACCAGCTTGGTCCAGTGGAAGAAGGATAGAGAGGCCCTTCCTTATGCACATTTCCCTCCACTTTGGATTCGGGCTCACTCCTCTTTACCCTAAGGCTATGTATATGTTATTTGTTGTGTTTTACGTCTGTTTTTAGCATGAGTTTGTTTAGGAAAGCCATCAGCATTGTTTCTCCATTCGAGGATTGTATTTGATAGATTGGGTAGTGCTTTTGTTGTGTCTCTCTTTTGATGTAGTGATTATCTTCCCCTATCTCGTTTGTTTCTCCAATCGCTGCAGTCTCCCCGAAGAGTACTCGTTTGTTATTTTTCATTGTAGTCTTCTCATTCCAACCTTCTTGTTGTCTTGTAGTGCCCTGCTTCTCTTCTTTGTTGTCCTCATCCAGAAAACAACAAATTGTTTTCTTGTTGTCACCTAGTTGTTCCTGCTTTTCCCACCGCGGCTCGCCTCTCCGCTTTTTACCCCACTTGCTGCCCTCACTGTCCCAACCCTCTGTTTCACTGCCAACGTGACTCCAGCCTCTCATTTTGCTGTCTCAGCCACAGCGAACCCATTTCAGCCACCCACCTCAGCTCCCCAACCTCTTAGTTGACCTCCACCAGCCATAAATTGAGCTCTAATGAGAGTATCTATCGTGTTCATTCTAATTTTCTTTTCTAGTGTGTTTAATTATAACCATCTATTTATTTTCAGTAATAATATTTGTATTTCCTATTGTGGTTTGGTTAACACTAGTATCATTTGGTATCAGAGCTGACCTAACCCTAGTTTTATCCTAGAATTTCTTGCATCCACTAATACCCAATCCTAGCTCTACCTATACTTTTCCTTTCTCACCTTCTCCCTTACACACCTCTTTTCACATACCCACGCCAAAAAACTAGTCATGCAACCAAGGAGATAATCATTGGAAGCTTGATCGAGGAGAAAGGACATGATGTTGTTCATGAGAAATTCACGAAGAGGCATCCAGGGGATTTCTAGGGAGAATATGTAGTCAGAAACCCGACAACTACAATCGAGGCATACCATTTTCTAGACTAAGCAATCGTAATGGGCCACTCATTGCCATAATGGTGCCTTGAATCACTTCCACCATAAGGATTATAGGAATGAAAGAACTCTACCTCGAAGATATGACCCGATATATTTGAGAAGCCGAAATCTTGAAATAAAGTTGGATGTCATATTTTGATGATCACATAGATCCGAACGAGTTCATTGAGTAGCACTGGAACTTGGAATGTGTCTTTCAGTGTCGGGATATCTCATTGGACTGAATGGTGAAAGTAATCGCCATCAAGCTAAAGAAGTGTGCATTATTTTGGCGGCAAAATTTGAAATACTTACACTAGTGTGAGGGAAAAGACAAGACCACCACCTGGTCTAAAATGAAACAGGAGATGCATTGTCATTTTCTTTCAGCTTACTACAGGCCGAATATTCGGACCCCAACTTCAAAAGTAGAGGGACCACATAATAGGATGACCATCACATTTTATAAACAGGGTTCAACTTTAGGATCTTGCGGTCATAGTACACCCAAAGAAACATCCAAGTCGACCCCGCCTAAAGAGAAACTGATTTAGAATAGAGAAGCTGTGGAGAACCATTATTGTCTGCCAGAAAATGTTTCAAGTTTCATGGAATTGGGCATACCGAATCAGAGTGCACAACCAAGAGAATGGTCTCTTTTAAGGATCAGTGAGTAGTTGAAGAGAAACAATGATCCAGGAGAAGGTGGAGATTTCAGAAAGGATTCTTAGCATCCATTTGACAAGGAAGAGATTCCAACGATTCCAGTTGAACACTAGAGAGAGACTCCAGCTGAATTGACAGTAACTGTTTTAAAATGTAGTAAGTTTGAGGTAATGCGTGTTCATATAAAGTATGAGGTTATGGTGTCTCGAACTACATTTTTGTAGGCATTTGAAAGAGCATCATTAGGACTGACGTTGAATGTTCAAAAGGGTTATGAATTTAAGGAACCGATGTTGGACACAAGGCAACTTCAGATAAGAAGATTTCAAAATTTTTAGATATATAGCCTATTTCTTAAGTTGACTTTTTTGAGGGAGGTCAAACTTATCAAAGATGAGAAAATTTTGAATTACTTTTTGAAGATTATATGGAATTATTCGAATATTAAATTCAGTTCAGCAGTGTACGCACCATCAGATATCCAAACAAGAGGGACAAACCACGACTTTAAAAATTGTCTTAGGAGTTTTACGGGAAAGAAAATTTCAATATAACCTTGGTCCTATCAGTGAAAAAGAAAAGGTCTCTCTCGAGCGGTTGCTAGTGAGAGTGGCACAGCCTACCACAGATTTCATTATGAGTGGTTTCTAGTAAGTGTTTCGCAGTCTGTCGATTTCTCCTCCCAAATATTTTTTCCTAGAGTCGATTTCTCCTCGCATTCTTATCAGCTACATTTCGCTTTGTATTGGAAGTGGAAGGAGAAAATTTCAAACTTAAGGGCTCGAGTGTTATATTGCAGGAATCTACATCTATTTGCAACTCCAGCTCAAGATGTGCCAAAAAAAAATGTGTATTTTTTCTATTAAGACATGTAGTGGAATGTCAGCTCCGACAGGATTACTTGTCGGGAGATTATATCATTCCTGATATCTTTAACGACGCTGACCTAACTATAAGGAAACAGGAGCTTCGATAGATGAGATTGAAGCTCTCGCAACCCTAAGAGATTGAAATTGGAGCGCCATACCCAATGCAGATTGATGCGGGAGTGTCATACCCGGTGCAGGGGCGCCCAGAACCTTGCGGGTGCGGCACAAGCCTCATGCGACTGGCTTGCTCCACTGGGAGAACGATCAAGTGGCCCTTGTGCATAGTTCCCTCATATTTGGGTGGGACCCACTCCTTCTTAATGTGAGACTATATATATAAAAATATATGATTGTGTTTTAAGTCAGTTTTTTGCATGAGTTTGTTTAAGACAATTGTCGGCGTCTGTTTCTCTCTTCAAGGGTTATATACGAGGGAGTGGGACTCACTGAGAGAAGGATCAAGTGGACCTTTCTTGTGCATAGTTTCCTCATATTTGGAGTGGGACCCACTCATTTTTACCATGAGACTATATATATATATATATATATAT